AGAGAGAGAGAGAGAGAGAGAGAGAGAGGGGGGGGAGAGAGAGAGACAGAGAGAGAGAGTGAGAGAGAGAGACAGAGAGACAGAGAGTAACTTAAACACTCTACTTGAAAGCACCTCAGCTAAGTTCGGTGTGACCGCTACCTAACAAGAAAAAGATAACGCCAATGGTCAACGAACTCAGCCCAATGTCCCTCCATAATTTCATTGAACTATGACAACCCTCATGTATGTATGTATGTAGTATAGGGTTTTACGGCGCTCGCAACTGCTAACCCTCATGTATATCAAAGCATATTAGATAATTAGGCGAAACATTCTGCAATGTGCATCGTGCATTAGCTCACGGGCTGAAGTTGCACTGGGGTTTTTGAACGTTGTATACTAGAGACAGTAGGTTCAGGTTCCAGTCCGAAATGGGTCCAAATAGGATACACAAAGTGTTGGGACTTCGTAAAAAAGATAAATGATGTACACTGCAGTTATAAAGATGTAACGCTTGGAGACAATAAATAGTTATAGATAATAAACAAAAACTACCACAGCAAAGGATATTGATTTAAACTCAACAAAAACACCGACAACGAATAGAATGGGACTGTTTTGTTCTATAATATATTTCATATCAAAACAGTAGACACTGGTAATGTTACGGATTATATAACGGTGTGCATGAAATACTGATTCATATATTAAAAACACAATCTGTGCAGGAGAAGAAATAAAAGGAATCAAATGGTGCTCAAAACACACACACACACACACAAAATTAATATTGGTTTTATCAGTGCGCAGATAGTGCATGGGTGAAGAGACGAATTATCATAGGGTACCTTTTCTCTTTTTGGCTAGGACTGTGCAAGCGGCCGTGAGAGGGGGGAGGGGGGTGGGAAGGTGAAGTGGGTGTTGGGCGGACGTGAAAGAGGTGGCAAAAATGTGAATGGGATCTAATTAAGAAGAGAATGAGGAACGAGTTTATTACTAAGAAGTAGAGACTACGACGCAAGGAGGACACAGCCATATAAGCAAACTTGTCCAGACAGGGTGAGGAGAGAGAGACATAAAGAGAGAGAGAGAGAGAGAGAGAGAGAGAGAGAGAGAGAGAGAGAGAGAGAGAGAGAGAGAGGGAAGAGGGGGGGGGGAACAATGTTAGCCTCTTCCATCAAGGTAGCACAGTATGTCACTATAATATCTGATCTAATCTGATCTGATCTGATGTGATCTGATGGTATTTTATCACTGGAAAGGGGCTGTGGAGAGTTCACAAGTTAACAGCAGCAAAACTGCAAGTTTTATTAAGAAAAAATTCAAAACCCCATGGGTTTATTCGGGTATATAAAAAAATAAACGAATAAACCCCAACA